GGATAATCGGACCCTTCGTCTAACGACAATTGTTTCAAAACGCGCATCGCGAGATATGGAGCGGGAGCGAGCCCGTTCGTTACGGTCAAAAGCCGGAAATGCGTGATCGGCGTGTCGCAGGACGGACGCCAGAGAATTCGTTGGAAGTTGGTATCGAGATTATTCACGAGGATTTGTAGGAACATCTTGGCGATGTCTGCTGCATAAACAAAACGCCACTGCCGCCAGCGCAGCAGAATAGCGGGGAGATCTTGCTGTAACTTCGGTCCGACCAGCAGATGGTCGTTAAGCGACGTGCCGTTCGTCGTTTTGCACGAGGCGTTAAAAACGACGCGTAACTTCGTGGTACTACTCGTTTCGCGCAAAACCGAATGATGCGGAATGTACATGGGCGTAAGAGCGGTGTAGCAGGGACTTTCGATCGCGCTCATATGTCCCAAGGCGAGATATTCCGCCAAAAAGTCATTATATTGCGCGGAGAGTTCGGCGTGCCAACGCAGCTTCCTTTCCATTTTCTCGTAGAATACCGTGGCGATAGGCAGGGAATCGCCTATGTCGATTGGTAGTTCGTGCCGGAAGGACAATCGAACAATGTACCGTCCTTCTGGAGAACGGCTATGAGTGGCGAGGAAGTGTTGTTCGCAACGCTCCTCCTCGTCGGTAAGTGGAGGGGGGCGCGAGACCTCCTCGTCCTCCCAAAATTGCCTGAGAAGCGAAGACTGTCGTGTCGTGCGTAGACACGTTATGACAGACGCAAATATTCTCGGATTCAATCCGGCCGCGACCCGTGTGGCCGGAGATAATCCAGCCTAACGCTGTCAATTGAGCGGTATAGGCGTTCCAATAGGGCCTTGCCGGAGGCCATTTTTCAACAAGGAACCGTACAAGTCGGCACCGATCAGTAGGTGAATCTGATGTCGACTGAAGGATCGGGATCGGCAAATGAGATGCCTTGCAAGTGAGGCCACGACTTGACGGGCTGAGTCCGCGATCCGGCGTACGAAGTAATATTTTGAAACACGTAGGCGTGCAACGGGAAGCCGGGTTCCGCACTGGAACACGGCTTTAATGTCAGCACGACGCGAGATCTCGCGACGCCTGTAAATTTCTCGCCGAAACACGTAACTTGCAAATTTGAGCGTTGTCGCTTTGTACGCAACGTCTGACAGAGCGATTGCGAAATAAAACTGAAAGTGGATCCTTGATCCAGTAAGGCGCGAACTTTAAAGCTTCGGCCTTCGGTCGTGTGAACATCAACCCATGCGGTTGCCAAGAGGACATTCGAAGGAACTGTGTCCGCGGGGGGACCGGTCCGTTTGTTCGCGACGTGATTGCTGCTCGCAGCAACTGGCGCGTTGGACGCCGTCGGAGTGAACGGTTGCGCCTCTGCTCTTATCTTCGAAGAATTTGCCGTAGCATCGGCTTTTACATTATTTGAGAAATGTAGTAACGAGTGATGTGAACGACTACAGTGCGAACATCGAGATTTGCTCGGGCATTGCTGAAGGAAATGCCCGGATCTCAGACAATTGAGGCAAAGCCTGCTTTGACGCGCGAAATCGCCGCGCTGCTCAATCGTTTTATCAAGAAACTCTTTACATTTCGAAACCGAATGATTGCCGGAGCAACCAACGCATTTGTTTGCCGTGACGTTATTAACCGACGAGCGCGGCTTATCGTCTCTGTAACGACGAGTATCTTTCGGCGAATCGGAAAGATCGGATAATCCGCGAATGCGTAGAGTCAGAAGGTCATTAATATCTTTGTAAGACGGAAGCTTGGCGAATTCCGTACGTTTCGAATTCCATTCGCTGCGAGTGCGAGGACTAAACTTTTGAGCAATAAGATAAACGAGCAGATCGTCCCACTCATTTACCGGACGATCGAGATTCTTTAGCGCGGCTAACGACGAAGAGACCGTATCGCGTAGTTTTCGCAAGTAGTTCACATTCTCCGTTTTCATCACAGGTAGACTAGCAAACGCGTGCAAATGCGTATGAACTAAGGTTTGCTTGTCGTCGTATTCGTCGATCAGCAATTGTCACGCGGAGTCGTAATTAGCCTCCGAAATTTTCAAGTTATTGATCAGCACCGCGGCTTCACCGGTAACGCTTGTTTTTAAGTAATGAAATTTCTGAACTTTAGAAAGCGAAACGTTACAGGCCACGAGAGACTCGAACATATTTCGAAAACTCTCCCATTCCGCGATTTTACCAGTAAATTTTGGCACCGATATACGTGGCAATCGCAAGATCTGAGAACCCGACTCGCGCGAAACGGACTCGTCGTGACTATTGGATAATGAAGAGTTAGGTGCACTGAAATCCGACTCGAAGGATCACTTTGTTGCCGGCGGCGGGAGCCTTCGATCAGATTTTCCCGTTAACGATAATTAAGACGATTTATTTTTGCGCCGGGTTCGCTCGGACGCTTCGACGGAGCCCTCTCGACCTGTCGCTCTCCAGATTCGTACTGACTTTGTGTCGCGCGAACTCGAACAGCTCGCGGCTTTGATTTTGGAAGCGAGAACACGATTCGCCGATAACATCGGCCCAGCAACGAGCGACGAATCAGGGGGTAACACAAGTACGACGAGGGCCTTTTTTCTGTGTCGAAAGACTCCCGTCGTCAACGGCACACAAACACGCGCTCTCGACGTCGACATTGCTCGAAAGTCGAATCAACAAAGATTCGAAGCGAAGAAGTTTCTCGAGCGATCTCGACAGCCGCACGAATTAACGCTCTAATCCTGAACAAGCATTAATACCAAAAAGTAAACAAAATGTAAATTCCATAGCAAATTTAACACGGAAAAATTTTGAAACGAAGGAAGAAATTAAAACAGAAGTTCGAATATTAGCAATAAGTGGTATGTACATTTTCCATTTAATAACAAATTATTTCATCAATCGTACTATTAAGTGTTAAACTTAATTCTTGCCGTTTTTCG